TAGAGACCCTCTCAAGTTTGTTGTTGTTGTTGTTTTAAATATTTTTAGTTGTGGGCTGGGGCTGGGGCTCAGTGTTAGTGTGCTTGCCTGGCTTGCGTGAGGCACTGGGTTTGATTCTCAGCATCACATACAAATAAATAAAATAAAAGGTCCATCAACAACTAAAAATATTTTTAAAATATATTTTTAGTTGTAGATGGACACCTTTATTTATTTATCTTTTTTATGTGGCGCTGAGGCACGAACCCAGTGCCTCCACTACATGCTAAGCCCCAGCCCCCACCCCCTTTTTTAAGATAGGGTCTCATCAAGTTGTCCAGGCTGGCCTCAAATTTGTGATTCTCCTGCCTTGTTATTGTCATTTGAATGAGTGCATAGTAGCTAACTGAGGAAGAGATCCCAAAACTTTGTCCTCAGTGCCACTCATCAGGCCCTTACAGAAGTTCAATGGCATCCTTGCACTCTTTTTCCCACCAGCCAGACTGGCACTATGTCCTCAAAAATCTCTGGATATTCCCCTGGGTACAGGCCCCACTGTACTGCCTTTGTCAGGTTAGCATCAGCCTTTCCTGGACCACTGCACCAACTTCCTGTCTGTCCCCAGGCCTACCCATCTGCCCTCCACCCCTGCACACCAACCCTGGGTGCCCTTCAAACAGTGCTGACCACACCCATGTCATTCAGCTGTGAAAGAAGGTATCCAAATTGGAAATACTGTGAACATCACAAAAGCTGCTCAATCAAAGGCATTTGAGAGGTGGCCTAGGTGGCTTAGCCATGCATGGCTGCCTTAGAGGTGGCCACACTCTCAGGTTCAGTAAGTCACAAGAATGACTCAGAATGCAGGTAGTGCTACACTTGGGATTCGTTTCATTGGATACAAATTAAGACCTGCCAAGTAATAACAGGCAAAGGCACAGGGCAAATTCTGGGAGAGTCAAAGGCAGAGTTCCAGGACACTGTCCCTGTGAACTCCAGGTACTTCACCCTCCTGGTACATTGGTGCATTCACACCTGTTGGTCTCCAGCATCCTGAATTTTTATTGGGGTTTCATGATTTAGGCATGGGTGATTGATTAATCACTGGTCATGTGAATCATTTCAATCTCCAGGTCCACAGGCTCCAAATTCCAATCCACAAATCACCAGGTTCTTTCTGGTGCTCGCCCCATACTGAAGCTACATACGGGCTGCCATGAATACTCATTAGCAAAAACTTCAGTATAACCAAAGGGATTCTTCATAAATTGTTTCTATCACTTAGGAAATTGTGCATGTTTTAGCAGCTCTGCTAGGAACCTGGGACAAAGAATAAACAAATTCTTATTTTTTCAGTACTGGGGATTGAACCGAGGGGCACTTCACTATTGAACTACATCCCTAGCCCCCACCTTTCCCCCCCCCCCTTTTTTTTTTTCTTATTTTGTGTGTGTGTGTGTGTGTGTGTGTGTGGTGCTGGGGATTGAATCCAGGGCCTTGTGCATGTGAGGCAGGCACTCTACCAACTCAGCTATATCCCCAGCACTATTTTTTATTTTGAGATAGGTCCTTACTAAGTTGCCCAGGCCGGTCTTGAACTTGTGATCATCCTGCCTCAGCCACCCAAGTTTCTGGGATTACAGGTGTGTCCCACCATACCCAGTGACAAATTATTATCCAAGAGATGGTCTTAAGGTGACTAAAAGCTGAGCTGATGATTGCCCTATTTCTTTTGGTGAAGCCATCAGGAAAGCTATGATCTTTTCCCTTGAGCTTGTAGAACAAAGCTTAGAGCTGCTGTGGGCCATCTTGCTATCAAGGAGAATACCTGTCTGAGAATAAAGGCAGCCCAGAGGAAAGCAGAGCTAAAAGAGCCAGAGGCCAAGTTCAAAATGACATTGTTAGAACCCCTGGATCCAGCCATGCCTGAAGTCATTACTTCTTATTTAATTCTTTTAACTGACAAACTACCCCCTCTTCATGTTTAAACTAGCTTGAATTGGGGTTTATATCATTTGTGGTACCCTGAGTATTAACCTATTCCTGAGGAAGAAGTGTTTCTCCCCTTCATATTAATACCTTGGTTTAACTTGGCCCAAGATGCCATCCTGTCCCATCTTCCCCAAAACTCCTTCCTTCAATGGCCATTCTGTCTACTAGCTTCCTTCCCCTTAGACTTCCAAGACTCCCTCAGCAAACCTTCCCACCTTTGGGGGTGGTAGTAGTGGTGCTGGGGGTTGAACCCAGTGCATGCCAGACAAGCACTCTACCACTGAGTTACCCCGCCAGCCCCTTCCTACCTTCTGAAACTCCAGCCTTCCATTTCTGACCTTCCCTTTTCAGCAAACCTGTAAAACAGCTCTCCCCATTCCTCCTTCCACTTCATTCACTCCTTAAAGCACTAACACTTGGCATCTGCTACCACCACCTCCCTAAAATTACTTTCCCCAAGGTCACTTAACAATCTCTCCTTATCAACATCTTCTGTAAGAGACAGTGGCAGTACGTAGCACCACTCCCATGGATCCTTTCATGTCCTGTATGCACTTGTGCATTTGCCCATTTCCCTCTCACACGTCTTGTATTACCACAGTGCCCACCTTTGGCATATGGCTTCTCTTCCAATAGTTAGAACTCCCGCCTTTTTATAATTTTTTAATTCATTAATCCTCATGCTGCTGGAGGGCTTTGCCTTGACAGAAGTGCCTGGGACTCGACTTCTGAGGGATGTGAAAGTACAAAAGGGCCAAATCCCTTGTTTCTGGACAAATCAGAGGCATAACTTACTTCCAGGGCTCCCTTGTGGCTCTAACTGAAGTACTCTCTGCCCAATAATCATGTGCTTGCTTGGCTTCCTTTTTCTCCTCCTGCTCCCTTACTGGTTTCTCTTGGTAGCATTTCTTTTTTTTTTTTTTTTGGTGGGATGGCAATCAGATTGAACACTGGGCCTCAAGTATGCTATGCACATGCTCTATTAGTGGGCTACACCCCAAGTTGAGGTAGCTTTGTTGCATTTTGATATTGGGGATTGAATCCAAGGGTACTTTACCCCTGAGCCACATCCCCAGTCCTTTCTATTTTTTATTTTGAGATAGGGTTTTGTTAAAATGTAGAGGCCACCTGAGCCTCCAGAATCTCTGGGATTACAGGGATGTGCCACCATGCCCAGCTCCAGGTAGCACTTTCTTAATAAATAATTTGAATACATTTGAACACAAACCCTCATCTCAGAACACTTCTGGGAAATATGATTCAAAACATCATCTCAACACTTTCTATTTCTCTGCCTGTTTAGGGTTGTTTCCCAGAACGAGGTCTCTTCTCTACATATATTACCTGGACTGTCTCATTCATGTCCATGGCTTCAACCATTGTTCCTCATGTCTGATCACCAAACTGCTTTGTACAGTTCAGACTGTAAATTCATCTCTGCTGGACAGCTCCACCTAGCTCTTCAAGAACACCTCCTGATGCAGCTAATACAGTAGACACTCATTACATGTGACTATTTTAAAAAATTAAAACTTAAGTTCCTTAGTCATCCTTGCCACATTTCAAGTGCTTAATAGCCATATGTGGTCATGGCTGCAATACAAAATGTTAATGTAGAATATTTCAGTAATCTCAAGGTTTTATTGGGGGCTGGGAATGTAGGTCAGCAGTAGAGTGCTTGCCTCACATGTGTGAGGCCCTGGGTTCAATTCCCAGCATACACACACACACACTTTCCTGGGCAGTTTAGACACAACACTTCCAAACCTAACTCATCAACAGCCCTTTGCCCTTCTGTATTCCTCAGCTGTCTCTTCCCCAGGTGGATGGCCCAACTACAGAAGGTGTATAAAGATATGCAGGGGTAGATCACAGATAGAGATTCCCTCCCATTGGCATCTCTCTCTGAAGCAGGGTAGACAAAGATGATGATGAAGAACCTAACAAAGGCCGTCTCTGACATGATGATAGCTTGGTTAGAGCCAGCATATTGGCTAGGTCAGAAATTACTTTTTCACAGTAAGTTCTTCCAGCCCCATCTGGCTGCCCTCAGTCTTATGCGAGTCAGAGCATTTATCTCCATCTCTTGGGTTACTTACCTCTGTGTTCCAGGATGGGCACTTGATCCAATCAGTTAGTTCTGGAAATTTTATCGGAAATCTCAGGGGGGAAAAAAAAAAAAGTGTGCTCCTTCTACCAAGTTGCTAAGCTGTTGGGAATTACGTCTGGAGATAGGGAAAGCCATCTTGCCACCAAGAGAGGATACTCTGCCTGAGGGTGAATCTAAATGCATGGGAAAACTGAACTAGGGATGGTGAGCCACAGGTTCCTCATATATTTTGGCCCCTGCATTCAGCCGATCCTGGCCCACTCTGGACTTTTCAATTATTTGAGCCATAGATTTTATACCTCCTGATGTCCTCAAACACACCTCTTTATTTCTGGGCCCCGTTTTTTTTTTTTTTTTTTTTTTTTTTTTTCCCGTCTGGGACGTAATCTCCTGGACCACCTGCCCCTTTCCTCACAGAAGCAGCCAAATTAAGTTAGGGATCCGCCTCCTCGCGGGGCCTCCCCAAGGTCACCTGCTTCTTCCCTCGCCCAGCTCCTTGGGGGCGATGTCCACGTCCCTCAGCTGCAGGGCCAGGCGCTCTAGGCTGCGGCAGGACCTTCTGAGAGCCTTGGCATCTCTCTGGTTTCCAGGACTCGGCGGCTACTCTAGCCTTCAGCAGTGACTCGAGACTCTATCCCCTAAGGTGGCTTCTCTATGGTTGACTTTTCTCCTTTGTCCGGAATTTCCTCCGAGAGGACGCTCTGGTGGAATCCAAGCCCTCCCCACAGCTGCCTCTGCGGCCCCTTTTAGATGCAACCGGAGAAGTCCCTACAACCCTACGAGAATCACCCGCTTTTCGCTCCCGAGGGGTCCGCACTGAGTAGGAGGATGGCGGAAGTGAGTAAGAAGCTGCCCTTCCCTCTCGCCGCTCTTCTCTATGGTCGCTTCCTTCGGCGACGGGAAAAGGGGTCCTGGCGCCTGCGCAGCACCGGGCTGGGCTGTCGTCGCGGAGCGGGGAGGGGGGGGGGCGCAGGGAGCGGGAGCCGCCGCCACCGCCGGAGCTAACCGCGGGGACCGAGATGCAGGTGGGACCGGAACCGGAACCCCCCCTTCAAGTGCCTCTTCCCTCTCCGCGACCCGACCCCGGAGCCTGAGAAGAGCCCAGGGTGGGGGTGGGCGTGGGGACCCGGGGGCAGGAGGGGCACTTTGCCCCGGGGAATGCAGCAGACTGGGCTGGTCCCCAGGAGACTGCGGCCCGGGGGAATGCGCGTGAGGGGGTGTCCAGCGAGTCGGGTCGGGTCGGAGTGGATTGACCACGGGGCCCGGAGGGTCCGAGCCGGGAGCGGAGCCTGCACCCTCCACCACCCGCCCTTCGGGAAATGTCAGAACTGAGCCAAGAGGCAGGTGCACCGGGAAAATGTTTCTGAGTCCTGCTTGGCAGAAGAGAAACTGAGCCACCAGCTCAGGAGCCACAGGGTCAGCAGGCCTGAAAGGGGGCTGGTTCTGCCTGGTGCAGAGGACTGGGTGGGCCTGTAGGAGCCGAGGTGGCCTCTGGCTGGGGACCCGTCTCTGCTTTGTCTGCACCTCTTGGCTCGGTTCCCCTGTGCTCCATGACTCCCGCATCTCCTGGCCGCTTCTCGTGGGTTTGGAGTAGTCCCTGTTTTGGGGGCCATCTGAGTATGTAAGGCCTAGGCCATAGAGGAAGGGGAGGGTCGTAGACTTGCAGCCTGGCTGTGGATTTGAGCAGGAGTGTGAGGTTGCTGATGGATCAGGGACACTTTTCCTGAGCTGCCTTGGCCCAGACCTGGGGCCAGTCATTTCCAGTGTGGCATGGGGGAGGAGCACTAACCAAAGATCCAAGGGTTGTAAATTCCTCACCAGCTCTGCCACTTTGTAGTGGTGAGACTTTTGAGAAGCCTCTTCCTTTCTCCAATTTCTCTTTTAAAAACTTGGAACCCCAGTACTCTCCCTCATAAAGATAGCAGTAATGGCAGTCATTTCTCACGTGCTTATTTTGTGTCAAGCACTGACATGTTCCATTCCATTTTCCGAAGGACTGTAGGGAGTAGAGATCATTAGCTGTTTCACAGCTCAGAGAGGATGTGTAATCTGTTTACTCCAGAACCCTGGCCTTAACCATTAGGCTAACCAGCCTTCATGGCACACTCCCCTGGAAGAGAAAAGGGAGGCAGATCCTAGGACCCAGTGCTCTGTGATGTTTTGTTTTGTGGCCAGCAAAGACTTACCCTGACGCAACCCACCATCTCTTCCTCTGGTGGTGGTGCTGCTGCTGTGCCCCTAGACTGATGGGGAGCTCAAGTGGGTGCCAGCCATGCCAAGTCTCCTTCATGCAGTGCTTAGGTGCTGGGCTCTGGAGTCAACTTCCAAAACAATTATTTGAATTCATTGTCCATCCATGGTTCTGAACGTGTGAACTCCCTCCTCAGAGCTGGACCCTAGGGTGCAGGAGGCAGGATCTCTAAGCTCTAAGCACCCCATTGGCCCGCTGAGAGCTGGGGTAGTAAGGAGCTGTCCCTGAGGCTGGTCCAGCCAGTCTCTGGGGACAAGGACTATACAGTGGGAAAACAGTAGACTCCGAGTTCTGAAAGTTATCTGAGCTTCGGTTTCCTCATCTGTTGGAGAGGTTATTAAATTCTCTCACAGGGAAAGGTAAGATGACCCCATGGAAACCTCTGCTATGGCTCACGAGGACTGTGCGGTAGATGGTGGAGGATCCATCTTAGAGAAGGGATAATGGTGATGGGGAAAGTCTTTTGTGGAGGAAGGTGCTCCATGGTCCTCTTGCTCCTGGATCCCACACAGGGAGAATGGCCTGAAAGGCAGCAGGAGAGATTCAGGCTAGACACCGGGAAGCCACTACCCTGGGGCACGGGGAGCATGCAAATCTGGGAGAGGAAAGGGAGGCAGTTTGGTTCTCTCCACCTTTGCCCTCTGAGGAGTCTGAACCAGAGTAGGGAGTCCCTGGCTTGGGGTGGGACATGCCCTCCAGTCCCACCTCTGCAGTGACTCCATGTATGTACCTCTCTCTTCTCCTGCAGCTGCTGCCGCTCACCCCGTGTCTTCTGGCCGCTTCCCTCTTTGTTGCCCCTCCCCACAGGCTCCCCCTCTCCACCTCCTGGGGCCCATCATGAATGGTGCCCCCTCCCCAGAGGATGGGGCCTCCCCCTCCCCTCCCCCCCCTGCCACCACCCCCTCCCCCAAGTTGGCGGGAGTTCTGTGAGTCCCACGCCCGGGCTGCAGCCCTGGATTTTGCCCGCCGTTTTCGCCTCTACCTGGCCTCCCACCCCCAGTACGCGGGGCCTGGGGCGGAGGCTGCCTTCTCTCGCCGCTTCGCTGAGCTCTTCCTGCAGCACTTTGAAGCTGAGGTGGCCCGGGCCTCGGGCTCCCTCTCACCACCAGTTATAGCTCCCCTGAGTCCCGGTGTGGAGATCCCTCCGCCACATGACTTGTCCCTCGAGAGCTGCAGGGTGGGCGGGCCCCTGGCTGTGCTGGGTCCCTCTCGATCATCCGAGGACCTGGCCGGCCCCCTCCCCTCCTCAGTCTCTTCCTCTTCTACGACCTCCTCGAAGCCGAAGCTCAAGAAACGCTTCTCCCTCCGCTCAGTCGGTCGCTCGGTCCGAGGTTCTGTCCGTGGCATCCTGCAGTGGCGGGGAACTGTTGACCCTCCCTCCCCAGCGAGTCCCCTGGAGACCTCATCAGGCCCCCCAGTCCTGGGTGGAAACAGCAACTCCAACTCCTCTGGTGGGGCTGGGACTGTTGGTCGGGGACTGGTTAGTGATGGCACGTCCCCTGGGGAAAGATGGACTCACCGATTTGAGAGGCTGAGACTAAGTCGGGGAGGGGGGACCTTGAAGGATGGAGCAGGGGTGGTGCAGAGGGAAGAGCTGCTGAGTTTCATGGGGGCCGAAGAGGCGGCCCCTGACCCGGCCGGAGCAGGCCGGGGAGGAGGGGCAGCTGGGCCTACCTCAGGGGGAGGAGGGCAGCCCCAGTGGCAGAAGTGTCGCTTATTGCTTCGGAGTGAAGGCGAAGGAGGAGGAGGAAGTCGCCTGGAGTTCTTTGTACCACCCAAGGTGAGGCACGAGGAGGGTGGGCCCCTGGGAGCACTGATGGAGCAGCCAGAGTCTTTACTCAGCCCTGCACATAAGCCCAGGCTCTGCCGGCCCACAATCATGGCTTCACGACTGTTTTCAAAGTGGGCTTGAATCTCTGATAGTAGCTGTGGGCAGGACTGAGACAGCAGTGTTCCTGCCTTTTGCCCAACTGCCTTAGAAAGGCCTGAGGAAGGAAAGATGCAAGTCTGGAGGGAGGGGAGAGCGGGCCTCTGCACACTGGAAGGCTGGATCTCATTCCCTCTCACCTAGGCCTCTAGGCCCCGGCTCAGCATTCCCTGCTCTACTATCACGGATGTTCGGACAACCACAGCCCTGGAGATGCCTGACAGGGAAAACACGTTTGTGGTCAAGGTAGGAGCTCCGAGCCTTCCACCCCACCTCTCTGCAGTGCTTATGCCGGGAGAAAGCTCTCAGCACTTTTGAGCAAGCATCGTTGTCTGCGAGAGTTATTTCTATGTCAGGTGCCTCAGGAGTGTGACTGCAGGACTGTGGCTTCCCTAGGAGATGTTAGAGTGGAAGATGTTTTCATTAGGGGTGGATGTGGCCTTGGGACTACGTCCCTGGCCCCTGCCCAGGCTGAGGTCCTCCTCTTGACCCCACAGGTGGAAGGCCCCTCAGAGTACATCCTGGAGACAACTGATGCTCTCCATGTGAAGGCCTGGGTGTCTGACATTCAAGAATGCCTGAGCCCAGGGTGAGGACCTGCCTCTGTCACTGAGGAGACCTGGGGGTGGGGGTGGGGAGCAGCCTTATGCCTCTCTGCTGGACACTTTCTCTCCAACACCATTTTTCCTGTTTCTGCAGACCCTGCCCTGCTACCAGTCCCCGCCCCATGACCCTCCCTCTGGCTCCTGGGACCTCCTTCCTCACAAAAGAGAACACAGATGGCCTGGAGCTGCCCTGCCTGAACCATTCAGAGAGTCTGCCCAGCCAGGATCTGCTTCTGGGACCCAGTGAGAGCAATGATCGCCTTTCGCAAGGTAAGGTGGGGCCTTCAGACCTGGGAGCCTCGGAGCTTCCGTGCAAGGCTCCTGCTGTCAGGCCCCACACCCTCTTTCCAGGTTCTCCTGGGCACCCCATCCTCTCCCCCAGCTGCCCCACCAATTGCTTGTCTCTTGTCTCCAAACACGCCAAGCACTCTTAAGCCACAGCTTGCCGTTTAGCACCACCACTGTTACCATCCCACACAGGCCCCAAGGAAACTCCCTGTCAACTTCTGTGCCCAGCCTTGTCACTTTTTCCCTAAGTCTCCCACAGGCCACTACTCTTACTGGAGATAATGGTTCTCTTCTCCAAGCTTCCAAAACACTTTGTAGGCGTTTCTGTTTTGTTCTTACTCTGTATATGTTGAGGTCACCAAATTTTCTTTTATCTCTGTATCTTTTGGCTTGACCAAACACAAAGACACGTGTCTGCCTAGCCCGGCTCGCCTTTCTAGATTTGACTTCCACTCTACCCTTTTCTTCTGGCCGCTGTTCTGGGTTTCAATGTGACAGTACCTAGCACACGGCTCTATTCAGCAAATGAACAAAGAAATCATAGACTCTTGGAGCTAGAATGGATTCACACAGCATCAGAACTCAAGTAGCGGAGATCAGAGAGAGGGAGTGGATTTTCTGAGGTCACCTGAGAGTCACTGATAAAGATGGGCTACATCATCTTCATTCCTGATCCCTAGCCCTCCTCGCCACACCTGCCTGGCTTCTCAGCATGGCCCAGGCCTGCCACTCGGCAGACATTCAGGCAGGCCCTAGTCCATACAGGGCCCTGTGCTAGCCCTGGGGCAGGATGGATGGGGCAACTCAGATGTCTGAGATGAGCTCTTTACCCTCCATGGGTTGGCACAACATCACTCCTGAGAAAAAGCAGGTCCCAAAACAGTGTCTGCTTAGTATCCTCTGAACAGCACAAGCAGGAAGTCCTTAGGAGCTCAGGAGGAAGAGCACAGGGAAAGTGGAGTAGACGGAGTGCTACACAGAGAAGGTGAGACAAGAGAACATGACTCGGAGCAGGTGAAGGCCAGTGCAGAGATCTGAGGTGGGGAGGGCTCAGGATACTTCGAAAAATTGGATAGGCTGAAGTGAAAGCCACATGGATGCAAATTAAGGTAAAGATGAAGTAGGCAGAGTCTTAATTTTTGCTGAGATTCTGGAGAGTGAACTCAAGGGTGCTCTACCACTGAGCTACACCCCCAGCCCTTTGTATTTTGAGACAGAGTCTCACTAAGTTGCCTTGGCTCACCTCAAATGTGCAATCCTCCTGCCTCAGCCTCACAAGTGCTGGGATTACAGGCATGTGGCACCACACCAGCTAGAAGGAGGCTTTTTGATGCCTCTGAGAGTTGGGGACTTTGTCCTATATTCCAAAAAAAGGACTCCTTTTTTATGTGAGAATTTTTGAGAGAGTCTATCCCCACACCTCTGCAGCAATTTTTCAGCTATTGATTCAGAAAAGCTGTAGGCACATTTGGATTCTAGGACCTTCTTACAACAACTGCAGTCCCTCGACAGTGCAGAAAGTGGAAGTCAGGAGCCATCAGAAATCAGCAGGGGTCACTGCCTCAGAGGGGTCTGGGTAGATTGCTAGTGGGGAACGGGCAGGAGGCCAGGCCTGCAGAACAGACTCTTCTCCGGTTCTCAACTTTGCCCTCCTATTTTTTTTCAGGGGCATATGGGGGCCTCTCAGACCGGCCCTCAGCATCCATCTCCCCTAGTTCGGCCTCCATTGCTGCCTCCCATTTTGACTCCATGGAACTGCTTCCCCCAGAGCTGCCCCCCCGCATCCCCATTGAGGAGGGCCCCCCTGCAGGAACAGTTCATCCCCTCTCAACCCCCTACCCTCCCTTGGACACTCCGGAAACAGCCACAGGTACCAGCGGGGTGCATGGGTGTCTCTCCAGGCCACTTGCCTGCCTTCCTGACGTTCCTGTCGTGGGATTCCAAGGGATGTGACCCTGGAGGAAGGAGTGGCACATGAGGGGAGGAGGCACTACAAGCGGCGGGCAAGGCTTTTTCCTCCCAGGATGGGGAAGCTTCCCTGACACCCAGGTTTCCCTCCTCTCTCCTCCCTGAAGGGTCCTTCCTGTTCCAGGGGGAGTCAGAGGGAGGTGAGGGGGACCAGCCCCTCTCAGGATATCCTTGGTTCCACGGGATGCTCTCTCGACTCAAGGCCGCCCAGCTAGTGCTGGAAGGAGGCACCGGCTCCCACGGTGTCTTCCTGGTACGTCAGAGCGAAACGAGGCGGGGTGAATATGTCCTCACTTTCAACTTCCAGGGCAAGGCCAAGGTGAGCGCCCCTGAGGCACAGGCTCTGTTCTATGCAGACTGGGGAGCTTGGGGGACACCGCTGTCCAGGGGAGGAGGGTTTTGTGGCTGCAGGGGCCTCGGCTCCCACCTCACTTGCTCATCCGGCCCTCAGCACCTGCGCTTGTCACTGAACGAGGAGGGCCAGTGCCGGGTCCAGCACCTGTGGTTCCAGTCCATTTTCGACATGCTCGAGCACTTCCGGGTGCACCCCATCCCTCTGGAGTCTGGAGGCTCCAGTGATGTTGTCCTTGTCAGCTATGTGCCCTCCCAGCGGCAGCAGGGTGAGCAGAGCAGGTCTGCAGGGGAGGAGGTGCCCGTGCACCCAAGAAGTGAGGTGTGTGTGCCAGAAAGCCGGGGCGGGGGGATGTGAGGAGAGGCTGTTGGGGAGACAGGGCAGCAGAGGCTCCTTGCCAGGGGTCTGGAAGGGACGGAGGAAGGCTGCTAGGGTGTAGGAAGGAGGGCTCCTCGCCAGGGCCGGGCGGCAGCGGAGAGCTGGGCTGGTGCATCCCCATTCCATCGGACTCCTCCGTTCCATCGTCCGTCTGTCTCCTGGTCCATCCTCCCAGCCCTGTCTTTGCCCCTCGTCACTACCTTGCCTTGGGCCTGCCCTCCTGGGGGATGCTTGGTCTGATCCCCCTCCCTCCTCCCTTGATGTCTGATGTCCCTGTCTGATCTCTCCCTCTCCCCCACCCCAATGTCCCATCTGTCCCCACGTTGCCCCTCCCCCCCAGGCCGGGAGCAGGCTGGGAGCCATGCAGGGGTGTGCGAGGGAGATCGATGCTACCCCGATGCCTCCTCCACCCTCATGCCCTTCGGAGCGAGTGACTGTGTGTAAGTGTGGTCCTCCTCTCACCTCCGCCCATGATCCATCTTCCATGGGGGGTGCTCAGGAGATGGGCTGGGGGGAGATAGCACATGGCTCCTGGGGAGATGAACGAGGGGCAGGTCCTGCAGGAGCCATCAGTCTGTCTTCTTACCATTCCTATCCAGAACCGAACACCTCCCATGACCTACCCCAGCCCCCTGAACCCCCTTCATGGACAGATTCCCCATATCCTGGGGCAGAAGAGGCGTCGGGGGCGCCAGAAGTGGCGGCAGCAGCAGCCCCAGCAGCCAAAGAGAGGCAAGAGAAAGAGAAAACGGGCAGTGGAGGGGTCCAGGAAGAGCTGGTCCCCGTGGTTGAGCTGGTCCCCGTGGTCGAATTGGAAGAGGCCATAGCACCAGGCATGGAGGCCCAGGGTGGTGCTGGCTCTGGTGGGGACATTGGGGTGACCCCAATTGTGCAGCTCCAGCAGTTACCACTAGGGGGCAACGGAGAAGAAGGGGGTCATCCCAGAGCCATTAACAACCAGTACTCCTTGGTGTGAGACACCCCACCCCACCCTCTCTCCACTCTTCTTGCTCTTCAGTCCTCGGGTCGTGAGGTGGGCTGGGTAGGGACATAGAGGAGACTTGGGAGTCCCCTTCCCACAGGCTTCCTGACCTTGTCAGTCAAGGGCATACGTGCTGGTACAAGCAGAGGTTCGAGAGCCCTGTCAACTCCCTAGTTCGTACACTACAGGTGCCCATCCCCTAGGCAGGGGATTTGGGCTCCATTACCTCCCTGAGGGGCTCTTATGGTCAGCCCCATCCCTGGGGGCCATTTCCCCATCAACTACCCCCCAGCCCAAGCAAGGGTGATGGGGGGAAGGGCTGTCAGTTATATTAAGGTGGTTGTTGTTGTTGTTTTAAACAAAATGGAGAAGCATAAATAAATAAAAGGGTTTATCTCAGTTCCACCGTGATGGCTGTGGCTAGTGTTTGTAGCGGGGAGCAGGACAGGTGAGTCGGGAAGGCCACTCACTGTTGTGAGCTCCAGAGCTGGGAGGCTGGAGAGCCAGGGTCCCTGTGGCTCCCCACCTGTCTGACTTGGCGAGTGCTAAGCTCAGCAGTGCTTCTTGGGGTCTCCAATAAGGTGTCCTAATGGGACAGGACTTTGGTGATTGTTAAAGGCCCTTCCTGCCTGAAGAGAAAGCAGGCAGAGAGCTAATGGGCAGAGGGACACGGGCAAATTGAATGGCGGAGCACTGGCTTCCAGCCCTGGCTCTTTTCTCATTTGCTGTGTGCCCTGGGGGCCAGGTATTCCTGCTCTGGGCCCTGGTGTCCTTAACCAGGATGAGGTTTCATCTCAGTCATGCTGCTGAAGTGATTTGTTTGGTCTGGATAATGTTTCCATTTGAGTGTCACAAACACGTTCAGATTACTGGCTTCCCTTGAAAGTCAGAAGATCCCAGTCGAGTGGGTCCAGACTCCACATCTGCCACATCCCTACCAGCTCGTTGCCTGCACCTACAGGCCTGGCCTGAGGGCATGGAGCTAACAAGGCCTCTCTTCTTGCAGTGCCCCCATTTTTAAACTCAGCTTTCTGAATTGATCTTCTGTGCTACAGCTGTACCCTCCAACAGAGGGCACCCCTGGACTTTGCAATGCTGGAGTGATGGGTGCCAACAAGGGGACACTCAGGTTCTGGAGAATCCCACCTCTGTGCTCAGCCCTCTCCCTGTCTCCTACCATGTCTCACTCCCACCCCAGCACCACCTCTCAGCCCCCAGACTCTGCCCCATCTCCAGGAGGCCCTACCCATGCTCATGACCTTGCTATTCTGGGCCTTGTGTCCTGTGGGAGATGGACAGGAGACAGCTGGGCACACAGGCCACCCAGGCTGGGGACTGGCTGGGGGAAGCCTGCTGGCTTTCCCTGTTTTGTCTCATCCCTGGGGCTCCCCCAAAACTTGGCCTCAGGAGACAGGATAGAATTGGCTATCAAAGGGTGGGGAAGTGCTTTGGAGACCTGGGTGCTATGTTCTCAAAGCAAGATGGCTGGTGGCACCCCCGGGGTAGGCAGGGCCTGATCTCCTAATTTAGCGGCAACTGGTCCTCTGAGGCTCCCCTTCCCCCAAAACCCTGCTAGCCTTCAGGGACTTGCCTTCCAGAGATGAAGCAGGGATGGGCGCAGAGATACCTACCCACTCTGCAGACAAGCACATCTCAGCTGAGGGGCCTCAGACAACTTCCCTCTAAGCCTTTCTTTATAAACTGAAGTTCAGAACCTGTCGGGGATGGGCAGCTCAGCCCTCAAGCAGGAGGAAGAACACCTTCAACCCTGGGCGTAGAGACCACCATCGAGAGTCTGAGAGAGCCCTTTATTGCCCATTCTCCCCATCCCAGTCCCCACCTCCCCACCATAGCCATGGCTCCCTGGTGGAGAGCCTCCTGCAGCTCCTGGCTGCTGGCTTTCCCTCTCTGGTTTCATTCTGCCCCTCTGGGAAGCTGGAGGAGACAGAAACAAATAACCTCAAAGGGCCCTGTTGGCAGGAGCGGCCTGTAAAGCCTGCCTCTTTCCCTGTCTCATGCTTGACTCCCCTGAAGCTACCCATCTCCTGTCTCCCCCTCTCCATGTTTGGGCATTCCTGCTGCTGTAAGACAGTGGCCCTGTCACTCCTCCAGGTGTTGCTGGACAGAAGCCAGCCAGTGCCAAAAAGTTTGGCGAGTGCTGGGCCTGACTCTGGCCTGAGACGGGTGCTGGGCCAGGTGGAGGTGCCTGTTGGTGTGAGCCCCAATACATACACACCCCATTGTCTGAGGCATCCACCTCCCAGGTCACAGCAGGACTCCAAGGGAGGGGTTTGTGGGAACTGTGAAAAGGGGGAGGGAACACCTTGTCCTCAACTCACCCTGGAGGCTATCCTTCCCCAACTCCAAGCACAAGTCCTAACTCTAGGAGGCCAAATCCCTCGGTTGCATCCACCTCTTCTGGCCATACCCTCCCCAGTGCAGGGGCTTCCCTGTGCCCTGCCCCACTGCCTCCTGGTCCTGTCTGGAAGTTGGAGCCCAGGGGGAGAAGCAGCCTTAGGAACCCTTTCAGATTATAATCCCAGCGACCCTGGAGGCTGAGATAGGAAGGCCACAAGTTCAAGGCCAGCCTCAGCAATTTAGCAAGACTGTCTCAAAATAAAATAAAATGGACTGGAGATGTAGCTCAGTCGTGAAGCATCTGGGTTCAATCCCCAGTACTTAAAAAAAAAAAAAAAAAAAAAGTCAGGTGTGGTAGCACAGCCTGCAATCTCAGTCCCAGTGATTCGGGAGGCTGAGGCAGGATTGCAAGTTCGAGGCCAGCCTCAGCAATTTAATGAGATCCTATCTCAAAATAAAAAACAAAAATGGACTGGAGATGTGATCAATGGTAAAGCACCCCTGGATTAAATCCCCAGTACCGAATTAATTAATTAATTAATAATAATAAAAACTTTTCAGTCATCTGTACATTCCTTGTTCACAGCAGGAAACTGAGGCCCAGACAGAAGGACTTGAGCCCAGGGTCACTGGGCTGCTTGCTGTCACTCACCTTTCACACTGCTCTCATGGAACCTCTGCTGGCTTCCCTCCCCTGCCCACATGCGCCCTGGTACCCTGTCTGCTTCTCCAGCAGCTGCCTTGGTGGAAACCAAAAGACGCAGGGTGGGGAAGGGCGGCTCAGAGCAGCTGCTCCTCTCAGGAAGCTGACACCAAGGCCAGCCGCTCAGCAACAACTTGTGGCTTTGCACCCAACCCTGGGGTCCCCGCCCACCTGGCGGCCACTAGCCAGCTCCCGCTGTCCCTTTTCCCCACTGCTTCTCACACTTCCCATCTTTCCCAGCTCTGTCCTTTCCTCCTGTCTCCCAGACTTGTTCCCCAAGTCCGCCCCCTCCCCATTCCTTTGGACCGGAGCCTCTGCTCTATCCAGCTTCCCGGGTGCCTGTCAGTGGGGCAGGCCCAGGTCTGAATGAGGTCTGATCCTCATTCCCTCTCAAGGGTGTTGAGGCATCAGTGCCAGAGTACAGTGATGACGACAGGCTTTGGGGTCTACCATATAACCCCCCTGGGTCAGAGCGAGCACAGTGGGAAATGAAGCGACACTCATTCCATGACTTGGGGTGACCCCCGCCCCCATCCTGAAACAGTTATCCCTCCCCTCTGCCATCAGCACATTCTGTAGCCTCTTGGGTTACCTGGCTGCCTGAGTGTCCCATTTTCCTGTCAGGATTCCCTGTCAGGGATGGGGGGGCACTGAAGGCTGTGTTCCCAGAGGCTGAGCTCGAGCGATAGGGGGAGGCGGTTTAGGGGAGAGACAGGCAGTGCTGGCTTTGCTCACCAGGCCCTGGACACTAAATCCCTTGTTGATGGCTGCAGCAACCCCTCCCTAGGGTAGGGTTACCATCTTCAGCCCTGTCCCCTTGACCCTCTCCCCTCCCTACTTCCCCTTGTCCCTCTAGAACTACTTCCTCTGGTCCCCAAAAGATGTTCTTCCCTGCTTTGGTCCCCTGAAGGCTTGGAGTATCTTTGCTGCTACTCCCACAACACACTAGGTGAGACAGTAGGCAGGCACTGGAAACAGGTTCAGGGTAGATAAGACTGAGATGGAAAGAGGGTGTGACTGAAACAAAGAGCCAGGCCCCAGAGTGGAAGAGGACGTAAGGGAAGAACTGGGGGGATGAGTCTGGGACTGGAAATTCAGTCATCAGGGGAAGTTGAGGCCATTGGGGGTGGGGTCAGTAGCAGAAGATAATGAAGTCTATCCTTGCCCCCCCCCCCCCCAGGGCCAGGCCACCTTTGCTTCCCTCATGAGTGACATCTCAGGCTGCAGCCCCACTGTTCCCCTCTGTCAGCAGAAATATCTCTCTCTTCTGACCCCTCCTGCTGGAGTCTCAGCCAGCCAATCCCTGATCTGGGGGAGGGGGGAGCCTGGCCCCCCCCACTCTCTCATAAGGACCAGCTGGGGGCTGGGGGGGTGGCCGGCTGCCGCAAGTGGGACGGGGGTCAGAGCTTCGTGGAGGGAAGGAAAACCTGGGGGGGGCCAGGCGAGAAAAAGGAAGAAACCCAGACTATAGGCAGGTAGAAACACTGAGGAAGGCCCCCAAGCCTGAGAGCCCCCCAAAAGGAACACACCGCCCCCTGGCCCCCAAGAAGGGAGCACAATGGAGGCTGCTCATGCCAAGAGCACAGAGGAATGTTTGGCCTATTTTGGGGTGAGCGAGACCACGGGCCTTACCCCGGACCAAGTTAAGCGGCATCTGGAGAAATACGGCCCCAATGGTAAGTGTCCCTTGGAGAACAGACTGGTAGCACCCACATGCATACCTGGAGCTGCTCCTCCAGAGTATCCTAGGGACATGGTCTGATGGTTGCAGCAGGGAGATACTGAGCAAACTGGGTCTGAGATGTGGAGTTTGGGGAGGTTTTACGGGATGACCTTGTGAACCTCAGGTGCCCTGTTGGTGGCCTTAGCCACAAACTCTTGGGCGTGGGGGCCATGAGGCTGAACCCCCAATGAACATGTCCTTTTCTCCTTTTTCCCTGCATAGAGCTCCCTGCAGAGGAAGGTAAGTACTGGAAGCCCTGAGCCCTCATAAATGACCCACCCTTCTCCCTGCCATACCGACCCCACACTCCTTTCCAAAAGGCAAAGATCCCCTTCCCAGACATTGCAGTACCCAAGGCAGAAGTCTCCAGGCACTTTCTCCTTGAGGCGTCCCACCCTTGAATAACTGCCCACTATTTTGAGGAGCCTGCCTTTTGGACTCCGGGCAGCTCCCTCTGCCATTCTCTCATACAAGCCGCCTGCCCATCATCCTAGGGATTCAGGACACTACACTCCCTGGACCTCAGCCTATATGCAAAGTCCCAGAGTTCCATCCTTTGGATCTTAACCCGGGGGACCCTTCCCCTTGCCTCTCCCTTCCCCCCTCCCAGGGAAGTCCCTGTGGGAG